AAAAGAGGAGCTGCAGCAATGTGCAGATGAGAAAATCTTTATTAATATTATGTTTTTTGAAAATTAAACCATGTGAACCTGTTCTGGTACAAACCCCTAATTAAGATTTTGAACCTGAAAATGAGCATAATACCACCTCTTTAAGAAAATTACAAAATTTGTTTGAAATTACATATTAAGAAGGAAACTGTCAATCATTCTAAATAAAAAACAAGAATAACATAAATAATTTAAATGTATATCGACGTGTTTCATCTGTCAGTAGGGACGAATGAAACAACGCGCACCATCCATTCAAAGTCCAATTATACCGAAGTCGTTCCACATTTTTAAGATAATACCTGGTATTGATAGAGCACACACGTGAGTTGTTGATCACAACAACAAATGATTTCTGTCTGTAACATTATCTTTAAAAATGTTACAGACAGAAAAAGTGTTTCAATCGTTCCGGCTCTCCCCCTACTCAAATATTGTCATTAAATCAATCAATCCAGCATGTTCTATGAGAATATTAAACAACCTCCCAAAAACGTGTGCTTAAGGTTTCATTTTATTACTTATTTATCTATAGCACTATTTATTAGTGTAATCTTGTTTCATATATGACTCGTGACTCCTCCTGAAGACTGTTGAGTGTCTGCAGTGACAGGAAGCAGCCAGAAGGTGGAAGCACATCAGCATCATCGTGGACTTGTGTTTAGTCCGTGGGGATCTACTTTATTTAATTTGCCATTAAATACATTTATTTCAGTTTTTATCTCTACAGTAGAGTTCTGTGTTCATTCACAGCACTGAAGGTAAATAAAAACCTGGTTTTAAGCTGTTTGTCAGCTTTATTTCCTGTTTGTGTGTTTTTTGTTGCAGTTAAAGAATTGTATTATCATTATTATTATATGTATCACATGAAGGACTTTAAGAGGTTGTTTCTCTGTTGAACAGACTTTGTTTCTCTTCTCATGAAATGAAAGTGGAAAAACTGCGGTCACACCTGGCAACTCAAACCCCCCAGAGACTCTTCACGTTGAACTCTGCCAATCTCATTCACTGCTTTCATCCCCTTTAAACACTGGTCTCCTTTGTGCTGCTCTGCTTTGTGACATGGTGCATTATCCTGCTGGAAGTAGCCATCAGAGATGGTACACTGTGGTCATAAAGGGATGGACATGGTCAGCAACAACACTCAGGTAGGCTGTCAGGTTTCAACGATGCTCAGTTGGTACTAAGGGGCCCAAAACGTGCCAAGAAAATATCCCCCACACCATCACACCAGCAGCAGCAGCCTGAACCGTTAATTCAAGGCAGGATGGATCCATTTTCATTGTTCAACAATTCATGTTGTTTATACCAAATTCTGACCCAACCATCTGAATGTCGCAGCTGAAATCGAGAGTCATCAGACCAGGAAACGTTTTTCCTTCTTCTGCTTCTTCTGCTGGTGAGCCTGTACGAACTGTAGCCTCAGTTTCCTGTTCTCAGCTGACAGGAGGGGCATCCGGTGTGGTTTTCTGCAGCTGTAGCACATCTGCTGCAAGGTTTGCCGTGTTGTGCGTTCAGAGATGGTGTTCTGCATAGCTCGGTTGTAACAAGTGGTTATTTGAGTTACTGTTGCCTTTCTGTCATTTCGAACCAGTCTGCCCATTCTCCTCTGACATCAAGACATTTTCATCCACACAGCTGCCGCTCACTGGATAATTTCTCTTTTTCTCTGTAAACCCTAGAGACGGTTGTGGTGAAAATCCCAGTAGATCAGCAGTTTCTGAAATACTCAGACCAGCCTGTCTGACACCAACAACCATGCCACGTTTAAAGTCACTTAAACCCCCTTTCTTCCCCATTCTGTTGCTCTGCTTGAACTTCAGCAAGTTGTCTTGACCACGTCTACATGCTGATCAATAAAGTTTCACTTACTGAAAAGTTGGAGGATTCAAATACCAATTTTTCATGAAGCATCAATTGTGTGTGTTTTCTAAACCTCCCTTTCTAAACCACATGATGTGCTGCCTGTGCAGCTGGTATTTCAGATGAGATTAGACGTGTTGCAACAAGCTCCACAGCTTCTGATAAACAACTTTTAGACTCTACAAAAAGACTGAACATGCTCACCTACATAATTAACGATGACTTCATTAAAAAAGAAAACTTATTTAAATGTAAATAAAACTTTATTAAGCTTCTACAGGTAATGTGAAGTGCTGAAAATGAAACCTGCAACATACAGAAAGAAATCGGAGCGACAAATACAAAGACTGGACACATCTGATACAAGATAATCATTCTAATCAACATAATTATCAGTTGATTGTCAGATTGTTCATTATTTTATTGCATTATTTGATATTGCTATCATATAATAACAATAATATAATTTTCTATGAGAATAAAGTGCTTAATAAACATAAATGTTTATAATGTACACTGTGAAAAACTGTTTTTAACCTGCTAGCCTGCTGTAGCTCCTGAAGATTATGTTCAACTTTGACCGAAAAAAAATTATATCTATGCAAACGATGCTGTTTTATATTGTGTTGGTGATGTTGTTGAAACTCTCAATGTCCTTTGATGCCATGCAAGAACACAGATGATGAGCTGACATAAAACTCCAATATGTTGTCACTTCATACATTATTACTGTAAAAATATGCATTATAGGCATTTAAAGAAGAAAGAAAAAAGAAGAAAGTTCAGTTTCACCTAAACATTTCAGCATACACAGTAGATTATAAGTTTATGCATTATATACATTTTTTCATTATTATAATAATAATAATAATAATCCTTATTTGTAGAGCACTTTTCAAAAACAAGTTACAAAGTGCTTTAACAAGTGTAAAGAATAATACAAAAAAACAAGATAAGAGCATGAAAAATTAATATAAAATTAGTAAAATAAAATAAAAGGGATAAAATAAAGTCAAATAAGATCGGGAAAAGCTCTCCTATAAAAGTATGTTTTAAGAAGGGACTTAAAAGAGTTCACTGACTCAGCCGACCTGATTTCCTCGGGCAGGCTGTTCCAGAGCCTCGGGGCCCTGACAGCAAACGCTCTGTCCCCTTTAGTTTTCAGTCGAGACTCTGGAACAGACAACAGACCTCTGCCAGAGGATCTCAAGGTACGTGCTGGTGCGTATGGGACTAAAAGGTCAGAAATATAACAAGGCGAGAGGCCATGAAGAGCTTTAAAAGTGATCAATAGAATTTTTATCTGAGCATGATGACTTGGCTGAATACAAACGGCTGCTACAGAGGACATTAAAACCAGAGAAGAAGTTACATTTTGTCCTTTTGATATGAATCTTAATGCATTTACACTAATTATTAACTGTTCAGGTCACCAGGTCACCCGACTTTTCAGGAGGAGATTCATATGAACAATGTTCTGATGAGTACTTACGTTTTCTACAGACACAAACAACAACAACAACAACAACAAGCACACCAATAGCTGACAGTCAAACTACGATGCTACGAAATCTAACCTTGTTTCCAGCCGTGTGATCTGAGCAAACAAAGGGTGGTATGTCCTGAGTTGTTTAACACATCTAGATGTGAATACCAGGAAGTGAAAGCTGAATTCTGAACTCTTGTCTGATACTCATCTTTTGATCTTCAATCCAAATTTCTTCAGGGAACAACAAAAACAAAGGAATTTGCCTCACCGTTCCAATACTTTTTTATATTTTGGATTGTCACCTGCCGCCTGAATGTTTCCCTTTATATAAATAAAAACATTTCCACAGTAAATTGGTGCAGAAAAATTCACCATAATGCAGGAAATTAAGTGTTTAATGCTTAAAGTTTTCTGGGGACGGATCCCCAGTCCTTCCTCTTCATTTGTCCCCTCCACCTTTTAAACTAAACCAATGCTCTTGCATTCCAGGAAAATTACAGGACCAATGTGTTTTATAGATATAGTGGAGCAGAGGCGGATTCACAGCCTCACCTCAGCACAGCTAAATCAGTACATCAGTTAATCTGTGGAGGAATAAATGATGTATTTCAGAGTGACATATCCAAAACGACCTGTAAATGGAGATGTAAGTCAATGTCCATTTGCAGAATAGACACACCGGCATCATCTAATCTGTGGACTGACTAGATAGTCTGAAACTTATCCAGAGAAATCTGAAGGAAGAGGTAGAGGACACCAGAGAGGAGGAGGAGCAGTATGGAGAGGAGGAAGAGGAACAGTAGGAGTTGGAGGAAGAGATGGGATAGGAGGAAGATGAGGAGGCGGAGCAGGAGTAGAGCATAGGTTGAGGGAGGAAGAGGAGGAGGTGGAGAAAAAGAATCTCTGGCCTGTTCCAGACCAAAGACAGGGCGCTGGGGCAGAATAATTTGTTGTTTGCTGTGTTGTACTGTACAGCACTCTAAGTGAAAAATGTGTGCAAATGTTTACATTTTTTTATTTCTTTTGTCAAAAGGTTCCTGAGGGGAAAACCACAAGCAACATTACTAATAACCAGTTTTGTAGTGTTGTTTTGAATTTCTCTCACCAGTGTGCAAGACTGTGTTGTAGTGTGTGTGTTTTTGAGGGCTTTGTGTGTTATGTCTGAGGGCAAAGTTTGGTTTTGAGAGGAGAGCTTCATTTTGACCTGAAAATATGGGAAAATTGGGGGAGATGTTGTGGATTTGTGTTTAGAGTTTCGAGAAAAAGAGGCATAATTTCAAGAAATGTGTTTAAGCAATAGAGAAATACTGTAATCAAATAAATAAGTTACAACAAACAGTCCCCTTTGTGATATTTATTGCAATAAAAAGAAAACAACAGAAGAACTCAAACAAACTCATTTGGGCCATAGAACTCCTTTAGTAGGGTAACGAGGGGGTTAAATGGATGGAGATAACTGGAGTCTGTCAGAGAATTGGAGAATGTCAGGATTGACTAACAGGTTTAGGCAAGGCAAGGCTATTTGTATAGCACATTTCAACAACAAGGCAATGTACTGAGCTTTACATAAAGGTTTGGGGCCCAAATGCAAGACACAGGAGCAGGCATGTTCAGTTCTCAAGATTTATTAACAAAAAGTTAGCACGCTTACAGAGGGAGTCCAAACAAATCCATTAAGCAGAGGTAATGTCCAAACAAAAAAATCCAAATTTTGTGACAAAAGCCATAAAGAAACCAAAATCCAAAAGCAGACTTAAAGACAACGAAGATCCGGGTATACAACCAGACAGGGATACAGGCAGGAACAACTAACACACTCGACAACCATTTAAACACGGGCAAATGAGCACAACACCTGACACAGAACAGACCAAATAATCAAGCACAGGAGAACAGACCGATCCAGAGTAATCCATAAATCAATGAACCTACCTAACCATTACACAGACAGACTCAAAACAAGAATCACAGTAATTCTAAGTACAAGAAAGAGAAGCAGACTAGGATTGTGACAAAGAAAGACGTTCTTAGCCTTAAAACTCAAGTTGTCACAGGAAAAAAAGAGTGGGCAAAAGACAAAACAAATGTTCATTATAGCTAAAACACGGGTAAGCTGATCTAAACATATATAATTACACAAAGTATATCACATGTACGATTATCAGAATGCATATAGGTAAATACAACTGAGTACATATCAGTCTGATATCTGCAGACTGCTGGCTAGCTAGCAGTAGGACCTGCACACTGTTTCATCTCCTGAGGCTTTTCTTGTAAAGCTATCACATCAAGTAAATTTCAGGAGTCAAATTATCCAGTTAAACTTTCATTTATATCAGATCAATTATTTGACCTGATAAACTTTATATTTTGAATCAGTATTCGGATCAGGTATCTTGTGACAAATACGGTGTGATGAATTAAGTGTCTACAGCAATTATTACAATGTGTCAGAGGCATATTGACTCAACATTTAGTTAAATGCAAGTATTGTATCAAATCAGGACTGTGGTCAGAAAATCTTACCACAGGGTTCAGGTTTGGTGTTGTAGTAACACGTTTTGAATAAAAGGGAAGCTTTTTTAGACACACTTGTGTGTCTTTAGCTGAGCTGTCCAGGCAAAGAGTTTCTTACATTTAACACACCAGTACGGTTTACATCCTGTGTGGACACGCTGATGCTCTGAGAGTTTGGATGATAAATAGAAACCTTTGTCACAGTGTTGACACTGGTGTGGTTTGACTCCAGCGTGGAAAAGCTTGTGTGTCCGATATGAAGATGAACTACTAAAACTCTTCCCACATGGCTCACAGCTGTATGGTTTCTCTCCAGTGTGGACACGCTCGTGTCTTTGGCATGTGTTTGATGAAGAGAATGTTTTCTCACAATGTTTGCACTTGTAGGGTTTTTCTCCAGTGTGGATACTTTCATGATACTTATATGCAGTGGATGACTTTAAGACTTTTCCACATTGCTGACAGGGGTAGGTTTTTTCTTTAGTGTGGATGTTTCTATGATTCTTGTAAGCAGACAGCTGAGTGAAACTCTTCCCACACTCCTCACAGCTGTATGGTTTTAGTCCAGTGTGGATTCGTTCATGTACCCTGCGATCTGTTGAAGAAATGAAAGCTTTCTCACAGTGCCTGCAGTTGTACGGTTTCTCTCCAGTGTGGATACGTTGGTGGATTGTTAGGCCTTCTAGTCGAGTGAAGGTTTTTCCACATTCATCACAGCGGTGCGATTTCTCTCCAGTGTGAATGATTTGGTGACTCTTGAGGTGACATGACCGAGAAAAAGTTTTCCCACACTGCTCACAGCTGAAGGGTTTCTCTCCACTATGGGTTTGTTGGTGGATTCTATAGTTACTTGACCTTGAAAAGGTTTTCCCACATTGCTTACAGCTGTATGGTTTCTCTCCAGTGTGAACTCTCTCATGAACCTTTAGGTCTCCCGCCGTCTTGAATGCTTTGTCACACTGCTTACAGCTATGAGGTTTCTCGTCAGTGTGATATCTTTTACAGTGACTTTGTAGATGCCCATGTGTTCTGAATCTATTGCCACACTCCTGGCAATGAAACGGTTTCTCTCCCGTGTGTACTCTCTGGTGAATTGTTAGATTTCCTGGAGAGGTGTATGTTTCCTCACACTGGTCACAACTGTAGGGTCTCTCTCCAGAGTGAATTCTTTGATGAATCTTTAAACGATGTGAAGTAGGGAAGTCTTTCTCACATTGTTGACAGTGGTGAGATCTGCATTTTTTTGCACTTCTCTCTTTCTATAGAGACAGAAATACAGAAAGAGTGAGAACATCAGTGAAGTGCAGTGTTGGACCGAAGATAAAATGTTATCTTTGGTTTCTACCTTAGCCCTGAGAGCTTAACCCAGTGCAACTTTGGCAACTTGTGAAAAACAGACACTACACATGCAGCATTTAGAAAACACTCTGCAAATAGAGAGACATGATAAAAATAAAGACAACGACAATGGAAATGTTTCCACAGGGCATTAAATTGTGGTGTTTGTGACTTTTTAAGTTACCATATCATGCGACATATAGTGGCAAAATTCTGCATACCTGGTCCGGCATTGGGCTTAAAATCAAATAGGCAGTATAATGATCACACACAAATCAACACCGAGACATGTAAATTTGGTGTCTGAAGGCTATTAATTTAACATAAAAAGATTGTATAGATTGTATAGAAATAGGCAGTTGCATCTGAAACACTTTTTCTCATATTTGTTGAAATTGTCTTTATACACCAATGCATATTAAAAAGTTAGGTGCTCTGAATAAGAGAGTATAAAAACCGGCTGTCTGTAGTCCTCTCAGGGCTGCAGTAAACACAGCCACTCGTTTCACTTGGACCGAATGCAATGATTGGCTGCCTGTCACTCTCCTGGTCAGCTCTCAGATTTGACGAGCGAAGCGGTCAGACCGGAGGTAATATCTGCGTGGCTTTTCAACGATAGTGACTGACAACTGTGGAACACCAAGGGACTGAAAACTTACACAGTGGTGGCTTTATTTCTGCTGGACAGGTAATCTGGCTTTTATTATTTTGATAATAATTTGTTACTTTCATTGCTAGCAAACGTAGCTACCTACTTAGCATACAGCTAACGGTTGCTATGAGTGCAGGCTGGTGTAGCAGCCAGAGTAGAGGCGATGAATTATATCTAGCTGTAGGTGAGTTGGAAAACAGCAGCGCAAGCTGTGTTTTCCAATGCTAATATTAGGTAAGACAATGTAGGTGTAGACTGCGCCGGTTTAGTTATTCACCATCTAGGTTTATTATACTATGTTTACACCTATCTTTACACTTTGTATCTAATCTGTTTGTGTAATTATCTTGACTGTATGTTACTCTTTTACAAATGATGTAGGTGTGTGTTTGTAGTTATGAGAAAGACATTTCAACGTTAGTGTACATAAACAATGATGGCTAAAGGTCCCCAAGTATCTGTGTTTCTAGTATATAAGCTACCTATAATATAGTTTGACATTGTTCGTAGCTAAACCTACTGTGTGAAAACCTTTTACTGTAACTGGTGTTATGCCATTACTTATTTTACCAGAAGTAAAAAATCCTGTATGTTTTATTTCTACTGCGCCCTCAGGTCACCTGCAGTCTTCCAACACCCTGTGCTTCTCACCAGTACACTGATTGGACCATGCTGGTTGGCCTGGATTACAACCACCGTGTCCACAGACCAGCCAGGAGAAAAGCTGATGATAGAGTTCTGAGGAGATACCTAGAAACAGAACCAGGAGACCTGATGATCCCCGTCAACATGGGGTTCAGTCAGGTGTCCCTGCCCCAACTGTGTTGCTAGATACAGCAAAATATAAATCAAAAAGTAATATGGTTGGTTTTGAAATGTGGTAATCATGTCAGAGAGACTGATTTATTTAATCATCTCCTCAGTAGCGATACAATGCTAGGAGTAAAGTCTAAACCAGGGGTATTCAATTAGATTTCAAAGAGGTCTAGTTAGAGAAAATTTCCTGAAGCAAAGGTCCGGAACATCAAAACGACGAACTTGCGTTATCATTCAGTACTATAACCTATAGTTGTATCAACACATGTTTTTAGTCAACAACGGACTGTCAAATCAAATAATATTTCAGTCAGTTTTCACATCAAACTGGAGGGATAATAAATAATAACTATTCAAATAATAAATTCTAAATTTAAGTAAACTAAATTAAAGTGCCTAATTTTTAGAAAAAATTTAATAAAAAGTGTAGCTTGAAGTGATGAAGTGTAGTCTTAACCAATTTTATAATAACACACAACTGAGCTGTAATGCCTCCTCTTCTCTTTCATTTCCTCTTACAGAGCTACCACTTTCCTACTTTCTGTTGTTCAGTGAGAAACGTGAGCTCCAGCTAGCATATTGGAGATCTATGAGATATTCTGGTTCTGAACTGCCCGTGGGAGGAATGTACATGTAAAAATCTGTACATTCTTGATTAAAAGTCATGTGAAATCTCTTTTATCTTTCGTCTCCTAAATTCGGGTGTGTTTCCAAAACGTCTCTGGTGAATTTCGCGGACTCGACTCGCAAGCATCGGTATGCACAGATTTGATTGGCTGAGCAGCGTCACATGAGACGATTGGAGCACATGCGATTGGTCTGTGAGTTTCCTGGTCCTCTAAACCAATACAGTAAATGCTAGAAAAGCTGCGCGGGTTAAAATAGAAACGCTCCGTCACGAGGTAGTAAGTCTCAATAATAAATGGGCTGTAGGTCGGCGGTCCGGAGAAGACGGCGGCTGGGTCCGGATCCGGACCGCGGTCCGCCTATTAGTGACCTCTGGTCTAAACTGTCTTCATAATCAGTCAATACATCTGGACACACCTCGTCTCTTCCTGTATATACTTACTTTTATTGATGTTTTAAAAATGATCTATTTGTGAAATAGGTTGTAGTTTTAGTAGTATATAATAACAATAAACAAGTGTTGTACCACATTTGGATGTCATTATTTCAGACATAAGACATAAATGTAGTTGCTTGATTGTTAAACTCAGATAAAACTGAAGTTATTGCTCTGGGGCCTAAGCACCTCCGTGACGCATTATCTAAAGATATAGTTTCCCTGGATGGCATCGCCTTGGCCTCCAGCACCACTGTGAGGAATCTTGGAGTTATCTTTGATCAGGACATGTCGTTTAAGTCTCACATTAAGCAAATTTCAAGGACCGCCTTTTTTCACCTACGTAATATTGCAAAAATCAGGAACATCCTGTCTAAAAATGCAGAAACACTAGTCCATGCATTTGTTACTTCTAGGCTGGATTACTGCAATTCTTTATCAGGCTGCTCGAAAAAGTCCATTAAGACTCTTCAGCTGATCCAGAATGCTGCAGCACGTGTTCTGACAGGAACCAGGAAAAGAGATCACATTTCTCCTGTTTTAGCTTCTTTGCATTGGCTTCCAGTAAAATCCAGAACAGAATTTAAAATCATTCTTCTCACCTACAAAGCTCTTAATGGTCAGGCACCATCTTATCTTAAAGAGCTCATAGTACCTTACTACCCCACCAGAGCACTGCGCTCCCAGAATGCAGGGTTACTTGTGGTTCCTAGAGTCTTGTGGTGTATAACATATGTGCATTTGACCATTACAGTTTAAAATAACACTCTAGCAGCTGGACAGAGGCTCAGTGAACTCTTAAGGGGGAGTAATGATTGATGGGTGTGTAAACAGTGAACCCTCCTATGGAATTTGACCTCTGACCCCGTGTTAGGGGGGAGTAGTATTAGTGTTTATGTAGGGACTGAACCCTTCTATGGTGTCTAACAGATGTTTACACTTATCCTACAGCACTGTGCCCTTATATGGATTGGAGCCTTAGTTTGCAGACTCAGACCCTTATATGGTATTTAGCAGATACCTAAACATGTCCTATGTAAGCTGTGTTTGATGTACAGAGAGACAGAGTGGCCATCGGGCTGGGTCACTCTCCAAGCTGCTGCAGAGCTTGTAATTGATGCTGAACTCCTTGATATAATAAACTTTTATGATCAACAACAGTGTCAAGCGGATTTCTTCTCAACACATGATCGCAGCATTATTGTTCGGACACCACAGTCTCCAAAAGTAGACTTGGAGCCAGAGCGTTCAGCTATCAAGCTCCTCTCCTGTGGAACCAGGTTCCAGTTTGGGTTCAGGAGGCAGACACCATCTCCACATTTAAGAGTAGGCTTAAGACTTTCCTCTTTGATAAAGCTTATAGTTAGGGCTGGCTCAGGTGAGTCCTGAACCATCTCTTAGTTATGCTGTTATGGGCCTAGACTGCCGGGGGATTTCCCATGATGCACTGAGCTCCTCTCTCCTCTACTTTCTCTCCCTCTGTATGCAACCTTATCCCATTATTGCATGTTACTAACACAACTTCTCCCCTTTCTGGTAGTCTTGTGCTTTCTCGTCCCTCTCCTCTCTCCTCCTATCACTTCCTGCAGGTTTTCTGGCTCTGGAGCTGTGGAGTCTGGATCTGTGGCTGCGGGTCACCTGCTGCCCCCGTGTTCCTGCTCGACACCCTCTGCTGCAGCGACTATTGTTACTAGTCCTATTGCTGTTATTACTGTTATTATTATCATTAATATTACGGTTATTATCATTAACACTACAATACCACAACCCCCCCCCCCTTCTCTCTCTCTCCTTCACCGGTCGAGGCAGATGTCCGCCCACCCTGAGCCATGGTTCTGCTCAAGGTTTCTGCCTCTTAAAAGGATGTTTTTCCTTGCCTCTTTCGCCTAGTCCTTGCTCTTGGTGGGAATTGTTGGGCTTCTGTAAATAATATCACAGAGTCACGGTCTAGACCTGCTCTTTTATGAAAAGCGCTGTGAGACAACTGTTGTTGTGATTTGACGCTATATAAATAAAATTGAATTGAATTAAGCCACTCTTAAAAAAGAACAATCTAGACAGGTCACTAATGAGCAATTATAGGCCCATATCAAATGTCCCATTTTTAAGTAAAATCATTAAAAAGAGTGTTTTTCAGTTAGCTTAGTGCTTTCTTGGCACTAAATAACTGTTTTGATGTCTTCCAATCAGGATTTCGACCACACCACAGCACTGAGACGGTTCTTGTTAAGGTTTTCAATGACATCCATTTAAACACTGACAGGGGCAGAATTTCAGTCTTAGTATTATTGGATCTCAGTGCTGCATTCGACACGGTCGACCACAACATATTACAAGACAGACTTGAAAACTTTCTGGCACAGTACTAAACAGGATTGAATCCTAATTAAAGGACAGGGAGTACTTTGTATCTGTAGGTAATCACACATCTGAACTAACAAAAATGACCTGTGGAGTTCCCCAAGGCTCCATTCTGGGACCTCTTCAGTTTAACATTTACATACTTCCACTGGCTCAGATTATGAAAAACAACAAAATATGTTACCATAATTATGCAGATGACTCACAGATTTACATAACTATTTCACCAGGGGACTATGATCCCATACGGGTGCTGAGTGACTGTATTGAGCAGGTCAACGGCTGTGCCAGAATTTTCTTCAATTAAACAAAGATAAAACTGAAGTTATTGTGTTTGGAGCCAGGGAGGAATGATTGAAAGTCAGTGCTCAGCTTCAATCTGTAATGTTAAGAACCACAAATCAAGCCAGAAATCTTGGTTTAGTCATGGGCTCAGACCTGAATTTAAGCAGCCACATTAAGACAATTACAAAGTCAGCCTACGATCACCTGAAGAATATATCAAGGATTAAAGGACTTATGTCTCAGCAGGACTTGGAAAAACTTATCCATGCATTTATCTTCAGTCGACTCGACTACTGTAACGGTGTCCTTACAGGGCTCCCTAAGAAATCCATCAGACAGCTGCAGCTGATTCAGAACGCTGCTGCTCGAGTCCTCACTAAGACCAAAAAAGTGGATCACATCACTCCAGTTCTGAGGTCTTTACATTGGCTTCATGTATGTCAAAGAATTGATTTCAAAATCCTGATTTCGGTTTATAAAGCACTGAAAGTTTAAGACCAAAGTACTGTACATTTCTGATCTTCTGCCTCATTACGAACCATCCAGACCTCTCAGGTCGTCTGGGGCAGGTCTGCTTTCTGTCCCCAGATTCAAAACTAAGCAAGGAGAAGCAGCGATCAGTTTTTATGCTCCATATATCTGGAATAAACTCCCAGAAAACTGCAGGTCTGCTGAAACTGTCAGTTCTTTTAAATTAAGACTTAACACTTTTCTTTTTACCATCGCTTTTAATTAGATCAAATGTAAGGCTGTGGATTAATGTCGTGCACTGCACTGTGACATTTACTGTCCTCGTTTACCATGTTTTTATTTCCTATTTAAGTCTTTAAAATGTATTTTATCCTGTTTATTCTCTATGTCACCCTTTTAAAAGTTGTTTTAATGTGTTTTTTTCCCCCAATTTCCCTTTGCTGCTTTTATGTTTTATGTAAAGCACTTTGAATTGCCTTGTTTAAATGTACAATACAAATAAACTTGCCTTGCCTTGAACTTTCACTCAAAAATCAGCCTTTAAACTTGAAAGAAATAAGGATTTAAAACTTTTCGATATGGAAAGATATCAAACTTTTTATTGAGATAACATTTTCGGCCATATCGCCCAGCCTTATGTTTAACTGTGTTTATTGATTTACAGTGCTTTACTCATAGACTGTATATATATAAAATGGACGCAGAGTCCGTGACGTCACCCATTGGTTCCTGAAGAGCAGTTTTGAAATCCAAATTGGGTAGAGCTGATCGTCACCATCTTGGCAGCACGTCACCACGCGTCACTCAATAACAAATAAAATGGTCAAAGAGGCGGGTGTAATTGGAATTCCATGAGTACCATCTCTAAACACAGTCACGTAATTAATGTTGCTGATTGGGGGTGTGGTGTCCGAACAATAATGCTGCGATCATGTGTTGAGAAGAAATCCGCTTGACACTGTTCTTGATCATAAAAGTTTATTATATCAAGGAGTTCAGCATCAATTACAAGCTCTGCAGCAGCTTGGAGAGTGACCCAGCCCGATGGCCACTCTGTCTCTCTGTACATCAAACACAGCTTATATAGGACAAGGTTAGGTATCTGTTGGATACCATATAAGGGTCTGAGTCTGCAAACTAAGGCCCCAATCCATATAAGAGCAAAGTTCTATAGGATAAGTGTAAACATCTTTTGGACACCAGATAAGGGTCTGAGCCTCCACGTAACCAGTGACCTCTGCTCTCCCCTTAAAGGTCACTAATCCTCTATCCAGCTGCTACAGTGCTATGTTAAACTGTTATGCGTCAAATGCACATATATTATACACCACAGGGGCCTCCGGTCTCTCGGGTATGGGGAGGAGGTAAATGTGTGTGATGCTTTATGATGTGTCCAGGGGGTCATGACATTAAGTGTTTTACAACATGTACCTAAATGTAAATGCTCCATATTTGTATAGCGCCTTTCTAGTCTTTGACCACTCAAAGCGCTTTTACACTACACATTCACACACTGAGCCTAAGTGCTCAAACGGAAACTAACATTCACACTCATTCATACACTGGCGGAACAGCCGCCAGGGGCAATTCGGCGTTCAGTATCTTGCCCAAGGACACTTCGACACGCTTATAATCAGTAACTATGTACTAAATTGTTATCATTATTTACTAGAGCGATGGTGGTCTACATTGTCATCATTTAAAGTGTTATTATATAGGATCACAGTGTTTAAACTCTATAGCTCTGAGTGTATGTGCTCCATTTGTATCTAACTGCCCAGGCACGTGTGTGTGTGTGTGTGTGTGTGTGTGTGTGTGTGTGTGTGTGTGTGTGTGTGTGTGTGTGTGTGTGTGTGTGTAAGCAAGCACGTGTGCTTTGGGAGCAGAGTAAGGAAGCACAGTAACACAGCACAAAGACACCAGCTAAGGAAAATGAAGAAGCAGAATTAGTGAAAATTGTGTTACAAAACATAGAGTATTTTTGACGAAGTTTAAAAAGCTGGTGAGGTTGGAAACCAGGCTTTACTGGCCCAGCCTGGCCGAACATCTGATCCAACATTGCATTGTACTTTTTGACTTTAGTACAACTTTACAATTTATTTAAGAAAAACACATGGAAATGTTCAAAATATGTTGGTAATGGAAATAAAATAAGTACATTCTGAGAATATTGCTCTTTCTTAGAGTGCTTTAATGGTGGTGTGGCCCTCCTATGAGATGACAGCACCAAAGTGGCCCCTGGATGGTTAGAGTTTGAGACCAGTGATCTAGTCCAAGCTTGTCTTGAATTTTTTACACGACATAAGTTTCCCTTAACTTTCCAGCTGCATGCTTGTCTTTAAGTCAGAGAATAAGCAGATTTCAAAGTTTGAGAGAAAAGTGTTAAAACAAGGTACCACTTGTGACAACATTTTTTATGATGAAAATGTAGCTATTGTTTGTATTCAATATGCACTTTTGCACAATATGCACATCAAACTCAGATGGGACTAAAAAACAGAAAGGAAAAGGAGTCAAACGTCTTACTCCAAGCACAGGATAATGTCTAAATTAAAAAGTCAATAAATGTAGCCCAAAATAGGAGGAAATACACAAAGCTTGTTAAAGCCCCCTCTGTGAAAGGGATTTACCTTTTGTGGCGAACTCATTGTTTCTTCCTCTGTCAGTCCTCTTGAATTCAAGAGGATGGACGCCACTGAGCTGTGAACAGACAGGAAATGTCCACATAAACAAAGCATCAGGCTATATACACACACACATTATATATATATACATATATATATGTGTGTGTGTGTGTGTGTGTGTGTGTATATATATACACACACATATATATACATACACATACATACATATACACACACACATATATATATACACATACATACATACACACACACATTATATATATATATATATATACACACACACACACACACACACACACACACATATATATATATATATACATATATACATACATACACATATATACACACTTTTGCTGTCACGACTGAGAAAGATTGCGGCTGCAGCCGCAGGGCAGATATTATTGCTGGTGAACCAGCTTTGCTCTATAAATCATGTTGGATTGTCCGACCTGTTGATGAAGGTCTCCCAGAGTGTCAACTTTAAAACAGCCAAGACATTTTCATGATATTAAAATCTACTCAGACATGAAGTCATTTTAGCCCCAAACTATAGGCTATACAAAGCTGCGGTGGAATAAAAATATATTTTACGGCATGGTGCTCATTAAACAGTGTTCACACTGCCATATCACTTTACAGCACATTTTTAATCTCAGTTCAAGTCGGACTGAAGAGAAGAAAAGGGAGTGCAGACGAGGATGTGGGGGAGGAGGTGCAGAATTTGCCTGGAGCTGACGACACACCATGACCTCCCCTTGTTTCAAAGCCATCAGACACAGAAGACTTAGTTTGAAAAAGAAATCTTACCTCAAAGTCCACTTTCTAACACAGGTCCTCTCACACACCTTTTAAGTCCTTTAGGTAAAAAACTTGAGTCGAACGGAGTTCAGAGTGCAGCGGGAGCAACTGATAAAGCACCACAGTACATTCACCGACATCCTCCTTCTGCTCCTCCTCCTGTGTGTCAGCATTCCTCCCCCACAGCAGCTGTCTAAAATCAACACTTCTTCTTTCTTCCAACTAGGACTTGTTCTCTGTGGCGATGTAAGTTTGTCATTAATTGTTCTTGTTTATTTTTTATTTTAGTTTTATACGCCTCTAAATGTTTTATTTATACTTTATACTATATTTATCTGTATTATTTCTGTCCTTGTGCTGCAACAGTTAACTTTCACTCTGAGGATCAATAAAGTTTAATCTTGTTGCGGGAGAAATTCATATTCATGAATGTTTGAATTTATCCATTGACATGTTCATCCGAGGGCCTCTAAAACCTTAGATGGGCCTTGAAGGAGACTCCCCTGATGAGACTGACCACTAAGAGAATAACTGCTTCAGTCTGCTTCTTCAAATGAACATCCACATCAGGTGTTGTACTCATCTAAAACACCGCACCAGTCCGCCATCCTCCCACACTCCATCAGCCTCGGCCTTTCTAACAGTCATCAGGAAATAAAGTCTCCGCTCTCACTCGCAAATACCAAGACCTCTTTGGAAACAAAGACCTCTTTGTAAACGTTCCTATGGGACAAGGCAGCCTCTCTGAAGAGCGCCTGGTTTTACTATCTGACTCGTTACACTCTCTATCAGTGGTGAACAGTGTAGGTCCTGTTTTAGTGTGTCCCCTATGGCTATACATCCTTGTTTTACCCAACACAGCCTTTATAGTCCAGGGATTACATACTTTCCTCACAGAATACCAATGAGACTTTATGTTTCCAATGCACTCTGGTTGCATGGCTTTACCCTCTCCCAAAGAATACCAAGGAGGACCTGTTTTCCATATCCTGTCGCTTAAGGCTCGTGCAGACTACACGACTTTCAGCGTCGGCCGATGGCTGTGCCGGTCAGACTACACAACTTGCTGTCTTGAGTCTTGAAGTTGTAGCGTTCACACTACATTACTTATCGGTGTCAAGTGTTCACACACTACAGGAGCTGTGTCCCCCGATGCTGGTCTCCAAACCACATTTTGTCAAGAAAACACAGGTGAAATGTGAAAGGGGAAATGCCACGAACCTACACATGAAACAGCTTTTATTTTTGTTATTATGAAGATGCCAATCACAAAGACAAAGAATCTGGGTGAAATAATGGATCAGCACACGCAGGTAGCAGGGATTGTCTGAGTTACAGAGAGAGCTGGAGGGGAGTGAAACGTGTTTTGCAGTGAAAAAGTAGCCGCCTGCTCTCATTTGCTGGATGTGGATGTCGAGTCGGCTGACTTCTCCAGATATTTGGAATGCTAGATATCTGGCAGACGTTGGCGATGTGTCAGAAATGTGTTGGGGAGCCGTTTTGATGCGTTCTTGAGTAGTTCACACACATAACGACTGCCGATGGTTTTGGCCTCCCACAGAGTGCAGAGGGACAACTTCAGAGTTCAGTCTCACACACAGACCTAACTGTGTTACATGCTTATACAAGTTTCTGAATAACATAGAACATATTATATTGAAGACATGATGCATTCTTACACAAGACTTCAGCCCAATAAACCACATGAACACTGAGAGTACAGAGACCAGTTAACCAGGCCTCTGGATCCAGCACTCATTTCAGTCTGATCTGTTGTCCTCTTGGCTGACTGAGTAAGGATAACATTCATTTATAAAAGTTTGTTGTAGCTGTGCATGTGTCCCATTAGTAAGTAGGGGCTAAGGTTAACACTTCTTTGTCTGATAATGACTCATTTATGTGAATATATGTTCTGTGTAGCAGCTTGCTTCATTTACAGTTCGATAAAAGTAATTTATCTGCTCAAATCAGATAAATGATATTATTTATGTTTCATTCATCAGTTAAGTCAATTAGACTTCATGTCAGTGCCGTCTCCTGTCCACCGGAGTTTTTGGCATGATTTGTGTGCTTGTTGAAAATGAAGAGAACAGGTGGGACGCGCTGCAGGTCTTCATTCATACTGAGCAACGAGAAGACGCCAGATGTGCCTTTAAAGCAGAGCACAACACAACAAGGCTTGAAGAGTTTATGTTATTAATTAGACATATAAATCCCTAAACAACTGTTGGATCTCTTCCCTGCACTGTATAAAAAGTGGAGTGAGATGACTTTTGTTATGAATTGGTGCTACAAAAAAAAGTGAAACTGAATACATATGAAATAACAAACCTGGATGTTTATCTGGACATGTAAACTCCTGAATTTCAGAGTGAAAGCAAATGGCTGCTTATTGTAAAAAGATTCACAAATGTCTTAAAATGAAATAATAAAGTCTATGTTGATGTAAAAATGTATCTCTACAATAACTAATCCTCTATTTCACTGCTCATGCCTAAACTCCAGTGTTAGCTGACAGATTAGATAAAATATGCTTGTCAGCTAGTTAACATTAGATGGCTTATTTTAAGTAAAAGAAATGCTAATTATGAAACTCTGAAGGTAGGAAAGTGTATTAAAGCAGCTAGATAGGCTAGCTAACTACTGACATTAACCTGCAGTGTCTCCACCAGCGTGTGGTGGACTGGACCGGAGCAGCTGCACTGTGAGTGATACTGCGGGCAGACAAGACGTTCAACTAAAGTCAAAGTTAGGCTCCTTTTTAGGGGTGTCTGAAATCGTGTTTTAAGACTGAGGCATGAATATGGGAAATATATTGTAACATTTACAAATACAGGTAAGAAAGACCCCCCTAAAATAGGGGGGCCCTAAAATTAAGGCTTGGACCCTGCCCTCTTTGGGGGGGTCCAAGCTCTGTCAAGCTCTGTTGTGTATTCACTTGTATACATCATCCTTTTTTAAACTTTCAACTTACACAGCTGGGGGAGGGGGAATATACAGAAAAAATATTTATTTTTTTATACATACAATGACCCAAATATGCCATCTGTAATTAAACAAGGGAAGGATAATGTCCTATAATCACAGAGTCGTCTTCCCCTAGCAGTTGTATTTGTATTGAATTTGAATGTATTTTGCAGGTTAGAGTTTAAATAATTCAGCTGTTTCACTTTCATTTAATTGTCGATGGTTACAGGAGGAGAGCTAGGCTCTGCTCTCAAGGCTCTCCCAGCTGATATGATCCTTCTCTCCTGCATCCTGATCGCTCTTGTCGCTGCATTTAAAGGTAAGCTGTGAGCATGTGAATAAATCTGCTTCAAACTGACTCATCTGAGGTTTATGTTTAAACAAAGAGACTGCTGACATGTTGCATGTTGTAATGTCCTGTGATCCTTCATATGGCATGTTGAGGGTAGATCAGCTGTGCTTTAACACTGACAGACAGTTTAAACTGCAGCTGATCAACAGATAATACTAGTAATCGTTAGTTAGTTAGTAACAGTGAATAATATAAAATAATAATCTAATCTGAGAACGCCCCACAAATACAGAAATCTTATCTAAAATAACTGAAACCAAAACTGAAAGTGAAACTGAATGTTTATGCTGGAACCAACCCCAAAGTATCAGTTTGACGTGGACATTTTCCAGGCATTTACTTGGCTGGTACAAACTGAAATCACTCTGCAGATGAACATTAAGATTCCCTGTGCATTCATCAGAAAAAAAAAAGACATCAGGAAGCAGCTGATGGCTGCAGCTCTAGCAGCATGACTACCTTATTTTTTTAATTCTAGGCAATCCGTTACCGAGGACAGGGCAGATAAATCATTGTTCTCCAGGGGAAATTAATGGGATGGATGCCATATCTGTCAATATTAAATAAAAAAAACATGCCTATTAAATAAATCCTGACTGTAGCGGCTGTAAGCTAGTGTTTGGTCTTGCTGTTTTAAAATCTGTAAGATCATGATCTTATTAACTTGTGAAGGGGTGTCCCCGAATAGTCAAAGTTTCGATGCTTCAAAAGAAGAAACCTGATTTGGCCTCCACTGTAGAGTCGCTTCAGGTGCAGGCTCCTGTGGTGTCCGAACGATAATGCTGCGATGATGTGTTGAGAAGAAATCCGCTTGACACTGTTCTTGGTTATAAAAGTTTATTACATCAAAGAATTCAGCATCAATTACAAGCTCTGCAGCAGCTTGGAGAGTGACCCAGCCCGATGACCACTCTGTCTCTCTGTACATCGAACACAGCTTATATAGGACATGTTTAGGTCTCTGCTAAAAACCATATAAGGGCACAGTGCTGTAAAATAAGTGTAACCATCTATTAGACACCACAGAAGGGTACAGTCCCTTCATACACACTAATCTCTTTATACACACTAATCTCTTTATACCTAATTTCTACTTCCCCTAACACTGCACCCATCAATCATTACTTCCCCATAAGGGTTCACTGTCCCTCTCACCAGCTGCAGAGCATTATGTTAAACTGTAATGGCCGGATGCACGTAATGGCGGATGCACATATGTTATACACCACACTCCGCTGTCAGGACAGGAAACACATGCTAAAATAATAAAATCAACTTATGTAGACACTTCCAGTAGAATCGATTTTGTTGTTGATTTATATTTAATTAATTAGTCAACATTGTAATGTAAAAGTATTAGTTCCTTTAATGTAGTATACATAAATTGATTTGAGCCCATTCTGTATATGTAGCACATAACGAGGGTATCTATGTCAGTGTGCAACATAGTGTATAGCAAATAAACAATTTTACTAGTAATAGTATCTTATTAACACGGGCTATTGATTTAATCTGTCAAAATAAGACTTAAACTCCATCTAGCAACATCAGTTAACAGAAAAACCATAAAGTCAGTTAATTGAACATTTGGAGAAAAGTCTTTGCACGCTATAAATCATCCACAGAAAGAAAGCTAATCTTACAGCACAACTTCAGGAGCTAACCCTAGCCACAGTTGGCATATACTGCCTTAAAACCACATGTAACCTAACCACATGTGTAACATTCTGTAATTTGTGTGATTACAAATATTAAGAAGCGGTAGCTATTTTGATGGCGAACACATACCAAGACCCATGCATTTAGACTTTTGTCAGTGCTTTTGACAAATGCTAATCAGTCACTTATTGTTGTCACAACGTGTAATGTAGCAAAAAAACAAAAACAAAATGCATTAAGTTACATCCTTGAAGCTGATGATACACGGGGCAACTTTTAGAGCAATCGTACATAGTCGGACTTGTGTGGTGTATAACATATGTGCATTTGACCATTACAGTTTAAAATAACACTCTAGCAGCTGGACAGAGGCTCAGTGAACTCTTAAGGGGGAGTAATGATTGATGGGTGTGTAAACAGTGAACCCTCCTATGGAATTTGACCTCTGACCCAGTGTTAGGGGGAGTAGAGATTAGTGTTTATGTAGGGACTGAACCCTTCTATGGTGTCTAACAGATGTTTACACTTATCCTACAGCACTGTGCCCTTATATGGATTGGAGCCTTAGTTTGCAGACTCAGACCCTTATATGGTATTTAGCAGATACCTACACATGTCCTATATAAGCTGTGTTTGATGTACAGAGAGACAGAGTGGCCATCGGGCTGGGTCACTCTCCAAGCTGCTGCAGAGCTTGTAATTGATGCTGAACTCCTTGATGTAATAAACTTTTATGATCAAGAACAGTGTCAAGCGGATTTCTTCTCAACACATCATCGCAGCATTATTGTTCGGACACCACACTTGCCACTAGCAAGATTGTCCAGCAACATTGCTCAAAAAGTTGCCCCGTGTATCATCAGCTTAAGGGGACCCTGACCTGTCAGTGGAGCCTGCACCGAAGGCAACTCCTCAGTGGAGGTGTGCATCTGGATCCCTCTCCCCCTTTAAAGCTCATCAACACACCAAAGTCAGAAGAACGACTTCCCAACTCCGGAATAAGACCATCCAAGGAGATTGCAATGCAGTGCCCCAAGTTTGAAATTTTTTTAAACAAAAAATACAAAATAATAATGATAAATGAAATGTATAATTAAATGTATAGTTATCATTTAGGAGGCTGGCTCTCTATCTCCCTCTATTGGCCAGCCACCACTGCTCTATCTACTGACTAACTTTCTGCTTATGTTTTTAGAACAGCCAGAGATGGTAGTGAATCCTGGACAGGACGTCCCTCTTCAGTGTCAAGGTCTCAGAGATGCCTCCGTCACGCTGTTAGAGTGGACCAGACCTGACCTGAAGTCAGACGGTTACGTGTTCTTTTACCGAAACGAGCGGCCGTATGAAAACTATCAGCATCCATCTTTTCATGGTCGAGTGGAGCTGAGAGATCCAGAGATGAAGGACGGAGACGCTTCTGTTGTCCTGAAGAACGTCACCTTCAACGACACTGGAACATACGAGTGTCGGATTATAACCAACACACGACAAGAGATCAAGCACCTGATCGGGCTGAATGTTACAGACTCAGGTGGGTTAGTAGAGTTCAGAATCCTCGGGTGGGTTTGTAGAGTCCAGACTCCTCGGGTGGGTTAGTAGAGTCCAGACTCCTCCGGTGGGTTAGTGGATTCCAGACTCCTCGGTGGGTTAGTAGAGTCCAGACTCCTCAGGTGGGTTAGTAGAGTCCTGACTCCTCGGGTGGGTTAGTACAGTCCAGACTCCTCAGGTGGGTTAGTAGAGTCCAGACTCCTCAGGTGGGTTAGTAGAGTCCAGACTCCTCCGGTGGGTTAGTAGAGTCCAGACTCCTCCGGTGGGTTAGTAGAGTCCAGACTCCTCCGGTGGGTTAGTACAGTCCAGACTCCTCGGTGGGTTAGTAGAGTCCAGACTCCTCAAGTGGGTTAGTAGATTCCAGACTCCTCAGGTGGGTTAGTACAGTCCAGACTCCTCGGGTGGGTTAGTAGAGTCCAGACTCCTCAGGTGGGTTAGTAGATTCCAGACTCCTCAGGTGGGTTAGTAGAGTCCAGACTCCTCAGGTGGGTTAGTAGATTCCAGACTCCTCAGGTGGGTTAGTAGAGTCCAGACTCCTCAGGTGGGTTAGTAGACTGGAGACTTGCTGATATCTCACACTTGTTTTCTGCTCTTCAGCTGGAAACATCTCGGATGCAGGATTCATGGATGGCCAAGATAAAGTCTCACTCTTCTGCTCTGTCATAGGTGGTCTTGTTCTGTCATTAGTTGTATGATTTGTATAGTATATATGTTTTATTTCATTTTAACTGTTACCATATTTTAATTTAGGCCTACACTTAATTATATGTTGTGTATGTAGCATTAAGGAACTACAAATTGTGTTTCGTTATACAGGCTTGTGCTGTACAATGACTAATAAATTTGTTGTAAATGTAAAGGACCCTATTCGCAAACACCCAGCAACAGACCTGATGAGCAGATAAAATGGTAAAATGGTAAAATAAAGGTATAATAAACAAAACAAAAATATATACCCTGCACTCCTTGGTCATTAGAGCTCCCCAAAGTCCAGACCTGAAGGTAACTAGCTATCTAGTTATAGGTGTACACTGGGTCCCCACTTCTTTTTGTGAAAAATGTACTGAAAATAGTATTCAAAAACAAATGTTAAATAACAAATGTAAGTGCTATCAGAAAGTTTTTTGGCACGAGAGTGTTTAATGCTCAAAATCATCTGGGGAGGACCCCCCGAACCCCCAATCGTATACAGTGGGTACGGAAAGTATTCAGACCCCTTTAAATTTTTCACTCTTGGTTTCATTGCAGCCATTTTCCAAAAATCAAAAAAGTTCATTTTATTTCTCAGTAATGTACACTCAGCACCCCATCTTGACAGAAAAATACAGAAATGTAGAAATTTTTGCTAATTTATTAAAAAAGAAAAACTGAAATATCACATGGTCATAAGTATTCAGACCCTTTGCTGTGACACTCATATTTAACTCAGGTGCTGTCTATTTCTTCTGATCATCCATGAGATGGTTCTACACCTTCATTTGAGTCCAGCTGTGTTTGATTATACTGATTGGACTTGATTAGGAAAGCCACACACCTGTCTATATAAGACCTTACAGCTCACAGTGCATGTCAGAGCAAATGAGAATCATGAGGTCAAAGGAACTGCCTGAAGAGCTCAGAGACAGAATTTGGCAAGGCACAGATCTGGCCAAGGTTACAAAAAAATTTCTGCTGCACTTAAGATTCCTAAGAGCACAGTGGCCTCCATAATCCTCAAATGGAAGACGTTTGGGACGACCAGAACCCTTCCTAGAGCTGGCCGTCCGGCCAAACTGAGCTATCGGGGGAGAAGAGCCTTGGTGAGAGAGGTAAAGAAGAACCCAAAGGTCACTGTGGCTGAGCTCCAGAGATGCAGTCGGGAGATGGAGAAAGTTGTAGTAAGTCAACCATCACTGCAGCAATCCACCAGTCGGGGCTTTATGGCAGAGTGGCCCGACAGGAAGCTTCTCCTCAGTGCAAGACACATGAAAGCCCGCATGGAGTTTGCTAAAAAAACACCTGAAGGACTCCAAGATGGTGATAAATAAGATCCTCTGGTCTGATGAGACCAAGATAGAACTTTTTGGCCTTAATTCTAAGCGGTATGTGTGGAGAAAACCAGGCACTGCTCATCACCTGTCCAATACAGTCTCAACAGTGAAGCATGGTGGTGGCAGCATCATGCTGTGGGGGTGTTTTCAGTTGCAGGGACAGGACGACTGGTTGCAATCGAGGGAAAGGTGAATGCGGCCAAGTACAGGGATATCCTGGACGAAAACCTTTTCCAGAGTGCTCTGGACCTCAGACTGGGCCGAAGGTTTACCTTCCAACAAGACAATGACCCTAAGCACACCGCTAAAATAACGAAGGAGTGGCTTCACAACAACTCCGTGGCTGTTCTTGAATGGCCCAGCCAGAGCCCTGACTTAAACCCAATTGAGCATCTCTGGAGAGACCTGAAAATGGCTGTCCACCAACGTTTACCATCCAACCTGACAGAACTGGAGAGGATCTGCAAGGAGGAATGGCAGAGGATACCCAAATCCAGATGTGAAAAACTTGTTGCATCTTTCCCAAAACGACTCATGGCTGTATTAGATCAAAAGGGTGCTTCTACTAAATACTGAGCAAAGGGTCTGAATACTTATGACCATGTGATATTTCAGTTTTTCTTTTTTAATAAATTTGCAAAAATTTCTACATTTCTGTTTTTTTCTGTCAAGATGGGGTGCTGAGTGTACATTACTGAGAAATAAAATGAACTTTTTTGATTTTTGGAAAATGGCTGAAATGAAACAAAGAGTGAAAAATTTAAAGGGGTCTGAATACTTTCCGTACCCACTGTATTTCATCAATGAATATTTTTAAATAGTATTAAAATATCTCCTAGTCTTGTTCTTGTGACCCCAATATTCTCCATTGTCACGTCTCGGGCACTAAGTGTTTTGTCACAACTGTACTCAAATGTCCCCACCACTTTTCAACACAAAGTGATACCCTTGTATCTAGTTTGTCTATCCAAATGTTTTATACTGATCATTTTAGGATGGTTAGGATTGTGATGATCTGTGTTTGTTCAGAATACGCCTACACTACAAGCTTTGAATATAAACTGTAATGCTCTTTTACTCACTTTGTAATACTCTGAATGCATCATGATGGCCATCAAATTTCACTGTGAAGCTTGTTTGTGAATAAAACATTTGATGTTCAACAAAAGACTTGCATGTCTTCTCCATTGCACTGCAAATAAGTACACCGTAAACTTTAACCTGACTAGATGAAAAAACATCTTTTGATCATGTCAAGCATTTCATTGTTAAACACATTCTCATCTCTGAGGGAGAAATATTTAATGAGAAAGAACATTTTGTTTAAGGGTTAAGGTTTTCCGGGGAAAAGCAGTGTCTTCGGATGCTTTTCAGTGAGTTATTTGGTGTTTTTGATTTTTTTAAGCATATTAAACAGACAGTGTTTTTCTTTAAACCTACATACACCACATATATAATAGGGGTATATAGTTCTGTTTCTGTAATCAGGAACAAGCTAGTTTAAGTAGCTGATGCTGTCAATAATAATTTCATTGATTCAGTAGAAAATAAAACCATTTTTCCTCTAAACAAACGAACAAGTCAGACAGACAGAATCAGCTTTCAACATATTATCTATCACTGAGGCAGATATGAGATCTCTTAGGCCATCTCGTGTTGTTGATGTTATTGGTATGAACACAGAGCTCTCTCAATCATTAGTCTATCCAATTACGAAAATTGTAAACATTTAATTCACTCAGGGAACGTTCTCAAATGTGTGGAAATGAGTCTTTCCTGTATTTAAAGTAGGCCCTGCGATGGACTGGCTACTTGTCCAGGGTGTACCCCACCTTTCGCCCAATGTCAGCTGGGACAGGCTCCAGCCCCCCACGAACCTGTACGCAGAATAAGCAGTTGATGATGGATGGATGGATGAATGTATTTAAAGGAGGTTACTGCCTATCCACCTGCAACTACAGACCCATTAGTATCCTGCTGTCAGTTTTGGAGGGGGCTCCGCACAAATGACAAACCATTTAAATGCCAGTTCTTGTCCTTTACATCCATATCAATTCTGCTTTCGTATTCAGGGTTGTTGGTGCTGTCTGCCTAAATTTAAGAAAGCATTTGACACCATTAATCATGGAGTTCTCCTATCTAAAGTATATACATGTAACAGGCACCATTTAATGGGTAGAATCATACTTAACACATCAGACTCATTTTGTTAAAGTGAACAATCATCAATCAGGTGCTATTTCCTTGACTGCGGGTGTTCTGCAGGGTGTGATCTTGGGTCCACTTTTATTTTCTCTGTATGTTAATGATCTGCCAAATATTTTTCTTAATGCCAACATCCAAATGTATGCAGATGACACAGTAATCTTTGTACATGCTAACAGTGCAGCTCAAGCTGCTGATCTGATAACAAACTCAATGCAAAATTAAAGCTGCAAGCAGCGTTGGGCGGGCCCTCGCACTTGTAGTGCGGGCCCTCGCACTTGTAGTGCGTCCGCGCGTGAGCCGGCCGAGTTGCATATTCTGGAGCTCTGCCGGTGCGGCTGTGAATTTCCTACGCGGTTCTGACGCCACATGAAGGTGCTATATGTCACTTCCTGTGTCCCCTATGTGGAGCTACATAGCACTTGCTGCTATGAATATAAATCGGTATTGGTGTGTAGATGACTGCGGGGTGGGAGAGTTATCAAGCACGTAAAGTTTGTTTCAGATGTGAGCATGCACACTGAACAATAATGTACCCAAACAATAAAATAAATTCCTTTTATATTTCCCTGCCTTGTTGTTTATGTGTACATACAGAGGAAGAATGTGAGAACAGCACACATTTCATCGTTACTGTGTGTTAGAGCATGGGAGAACAGTGGATACTTTTAATACAGCCCACACCCCTAATACTGTGTAACTATAACAAGTAGAGAACAGAAGAAAAAGATGTTGTTTCTTTACAACTGTCTGCATAGCTTATTCATATTGTGTAATGAATGAAAATAAATAGGCCTACTAGGCTCCTCTCTACTTTGACATTTAAGATTAGCTTGTTTGATCCACCTTCATACACATGTGACATTACTGTACAACTTGAGAAAGGTGAGTTGTTTTCTGCTCCAGCCTGCCTAAAAGAAAAGCATTTTTGGGATTAAATGGACTTCATTAGCTGCTGCAGTGCAGGATGAACTCAGAATAAACCCATTTCTCACCTTATTATTCTAAATCATGCAACGAAGAAGAAGAAATGCATAATAAATCCTGGGACAAAATCTGTCCACAAATACTGTACAGCATGTAGTCTAATGAACAAGACTTGTGTTATAGCAGACTTGGGCAGTGAAATGTTTAATTTTTTAATTCATGTGGTCATAGTTGTCCACAACTCAAATCAGAATATAAGAAGAAATGTTTTATACCACCTTAAGAAGGCTTCCTATCAGAAAGGTAGGAAGGTATTTCAAATGTACAACTGCAGTACTTAAATCTAAGTAAAGTAATTTCCCTGACATTACTGTGTTACGCATGTAACAGGTTTTATACTTCCTGTGAGTATAATCCAATCAATCTTATTTTCATACTGTATATCCGTTGTGTAATTTGATAAATTGTGTTGTATGTGGTGCTCGCATCGGGTACTACTAAGACTTCATTGCCCTCTTCAGAGAAGACTCTGACTGCAACATGCGTCTTTGTAAAGAGAGAAACAGACAGAAAAAGTCTCTAACTCTGCCTGTCAGCTCGCTCTGCTCCGTTAAAACTGAATTTACCATACAGAATTGAATACGAGTGCACTCCAGATTTAGCTGCAGCCAGCTGACCGTGTGCTTCTCCCTATACCGCAGTTCTGTGTCCATGCATGCAGCAAACTGAAAGCACAGTCTGTCGGAGCGTCTACGTGAAAAGAGAAGGAAGACATTGCTG